GATCAGACAAAGAGGGAAGAATTTCACCGCCCAAACAAAGGGAGAGAGAATTTTTCCGGTTAAATAGTGAAGAAGGGAATTTCGCCGGTTAGACAAAGGGGTAAAAATACATAGTACAGATAGTAGTAGTCCATTGTATTACAATAAAATTTTTCAAAATTCAGTAATTCTATTATAATTATAATATTAAAACTACAAATAAAATTCAATCTCTCTCAATTCATCTTTCATTCGGCGGACCTTTTTTTTGGCAACTAAGACTTAAGTGCTATTATACTCACTGTGTATAAGCAATCCAGATTTTTGTTTTTCTGAGTCGTTTAAAGCAAAATCTCATTACATCGTCCGACGTAGATTTTTCGACGATCGCTCAAAAAACGTCTAAATTCCTGTAGGGTGGCAAGACAATTCCTACTCCGCCGTTTTTTTTCCCCAACATCTCCTACACCGTTCGACGTAGATTTTTAGACGATCGCTCAAAAAACGTCTAAATTCCTGTAGGGTGGCAAGACGACTTTTGCTTACCGCTGTTTTCGGTTCCAAATTTATAAAACTTTTGCGGAACGAATTTCGCTTATTGGCTGAATCAGAAACTACTAACGTTGAATAGACGGAATGAGTTATTATTGCGAAAAAAATAACCATGGCAACATCTACAGTACGAAGTACCAACATATTATTGGAAAGTGCTGTTACAGTAATAACGATGGGCGGAAACAATAAACACATTGCGAATCCGACATGTTCAGATTATACGAGTATCTTTGCATTTGCCAGTTCGCATCAAACAGCACTTACAAAAACGTAGCATCAAACGGTTGTTTTATAAAAGCGATTTAAGAGAATTCGAAAATACATAAAAAAATACTTACGGAAATTTCGCCCAAAAACCTTTAATTGCTTAAATTGTAGTACTGATGACAAAAAAATCTTATAAATAAGCCATCAATTCCTGTTTCTCGGTAATTTTTGAGAACATTATGTCTGCTAGACAATCTGGCATACGGACATTTCGGCATAATAATTAGTATCCTAACTAATGCGGCACTAGAAACATAAAGTTTTCGGCAAAACTTTAGGTCATGCCGAGTTGCTCGTATGCCGAAAGAGGAGTACGGCAACAATTTTTAAGAAGGTCACGTTTATAATTTTTATTACTTTACTACTTAACAATAAAATAGTGGAAAATATGATAACGGCAATACGGAAAAAATATTTAATCCTTTGAATATTCGGTGAAAGTTCGTGAAAATCGCTGCTGCATCCTTTTTTAGAAGATGTTTCCAATAAAAATAGAAAGATTTATTTTTTTTGGAGAATTCTGCATTCGGTTATCGACATCAATATTTTTCGAATATATTTTGTCGAATGTATATTGAGGGACCTACCTTAATTAAAAAAATTATCTTAGAAGCTGAAATAAACATTGAGTTTCATTAGCAAAATCAAACAAGAACAGCAATAAGTAAATGAAATTAAATAATAATATTTATTGAACAACAATAATAATGACATTAAGATCAAAACGAAATAAATTTTCCTAATTTTAGGCAATTTAAATATTTCAGTTAATATACAGTGCACTTATATTGCCGAAAGAAATCGTTTTGTGGCCAACGCGCCGAAACTACGAAAATGTGTTTCAAACGTCGTTTTTGTTTTGTTTTTAAGAACTTGCTATTGTTTTAAAAATTTTGAACTTTCTAGAATACAAGGTAAAAAGCAGGTGTTCACCAAACTGTAACAGTACCTTCTTTAGGCAATCATTCATTTGTTCGGATATATTGTGGTTGTTGTTAATCCATCATTGTTGTGATCGTGAAAATAAGACTAAGTCAAACAAAAAAATGTTCTAGCCAAATTAAATAACGGTTATTGTTTACAACAATTACGCCTGTTGCGGTAAAAATAGTTCATCTAGTATGGATGTCTCAAAGATTGATTTTTTCTTTCAAAATTTCTTAGATATTAGCTGGGGTTCGCTGGTTAGACAGTGGAAGTGGGACTTTTGCCAGTTAGACACATGATGAGGGTTTTCGCCGGTTAGACAGAGGGGGAAAAATTTCGCCGCTTAGACAGAAGGTTAGGGATTTTTGCCGGTAGGATAGAGAGAAAAAAATTTTACCGATCAGACAAAAGGGGAAGAATTTTCGCCAACCAGACAAATGAATAGGGATTTTTGCCGGCTAACCAGTGGGGTATTCTTTGTATTGTCGGTTAAATTGTTTTCTTACCTTATTAATTTTTCTTGGTAACAGAGCATGGTAGATTCAGTCTGGTAATAATTCCCATTAAAAACCCCAAAAAATGCGGCGCAATGAAAAGTCCTTGCGGCGATTTATCCATGCGACGAAATGTACCAGTTGGGCAACGAGCAGCTTTGCTACCAACTGTCACGTCAACGAAGCATCCCTAAACGAACTGTCCCTATTACGAAACATCCTAACACCAGTTGTCTCCCGACCAAAGGTCCTTTAAACGAAGTGTCCCCGACGAAATGTCCCGCGACGAACTGTCCCGCGACGACTTGTCACGTAGCCATACTTCATTATGTAACTGTAATAAAAAAGTTCTAAACATGAGACAGAAAATTAAGAAAAAGAAAACCCATTGTGAATTATGGATTATATTGTGACTTTATCAGTATAGCGAATTGCGTACGCACTTGCGAAGTTCATATTATTAGATGTTCCAGTTCTTTATTTTTAATAAACATACCCATTCTAATCGACAAATCCGAAGTTCTCAACACGTACGGGAAGTAGGGAGGAGAGACAGTAAGATTACAAGTATGAACGAAAGAAAACAAAATGGTTAAAAAAATACGTAATGGAGGGAAAAACATTTTTATAGATACTGTGGGTAACTTGAGGATATTACAAAAGAAATGATAATATTGCAAATCAGGCAGGCATTATGATACAAGTTTAGAGTACATAAACAACATTAATTCAGAAGTATAACATTAAAATTATATCTCTTTACGTTTATAATTAGCTTGCCATATTAACCTAATTTCGTCGAAATGGACAAAACCGTTCATAAACAATAAATTAATAGTGCCATGACAAGAAGTAATAAGGGTTTAGTAGATGCACCGAAGAGCAGAAATAAATTTAGTACATACAATTGTTTTTTATAAAAAAAAAGGCTATGGCTATTTTGCCGCAGTATAACAATAAGGGTCTGAATAGTCCTCAGGCTATTTTGCCGCACACTGCGCCGGAATAGCCAGTTGGCTATTTTGCCGCACTATGGTGGGCGAAATGGCTTGTTGGCTATTTTACCGCACACTGCGTTAAAACAGCTCGTTAATCCTGCTGCTCGCGTGTACGATAACCAGACGACAACGGAGTTTGCCGGGTATTTTATTGGTAAAACAATGATATATACAATGAGCCAACAAGGAAAACACAATGAACAAACAAGAAACGCCCCAAACAAACCCCCAAACAGGAAGCATCAGTAAACGTTGATTGACTGGATAGGTAATGCACTCCGGATATAAGTTGAAAAGGCAGCAGACTTCCAACGACCAGCTGTTTGTACTTGCTGGCAAGACGAGCCTGTGGTTAGCGCAGTAGTTGCTGCGCCAATGCGGAAACTGTGGGAATGAATGTCAGGAAACTCCGGAAGCAACCGACGTAAACTGGACTCAAAATAATTGCGTGACAACGACGATCCATTCCGAAAAACAAAGAAGGGTGTATGCAGATCAGTATGAACACGATGCCGCACGCAACGAATGTATGCACGAACAGCGCAGACGGAGCGCTCAGTGGGATTAAAATGAACCGTATAACCATAAGAAAATTGGTCGGTTTTAGAACTGGGTATAATCAGAGACACACGATGACCATCATAGGAAACATGGCAAAATTGAATGGTGTGTGCAGCGCTGAGTGAAATCGCAAACTCTGACACTCTCAAAAAACCTAAAAACGCAAAACATATTGCACACCAAAGCAGGGATTGATCATACAAAGGCACTGCTGAACCGATTATTCTGGACTTTAATAACCGCATAATATCAAGCGACACTGGCCGGCGATTGTCAGGCATAATAGGAGCCAAACGCTGGAATCCTTTAATTGCGTGTTGGACTTTCACGGACAACACAGGATCAGTAGTGCCGGTCTCAAGGGCATAATTGGAAATGCCGGCAAGATAGGTGCGCACAGAAGAAAACTTATGTCCGGCATGATATAAATGGGCAATAAAATTCAAAACATTGACTTCGGAAAACAATGACGAATTGCAATGGGAAACTGACAGGAATCGCAAAAATTGATGTAATGCGGTCAAATATGTTTTCCGCGTGGATGCGGAAATATGATGCCGCATTAGGTGGACAACGGTTGCATCTGTAAAATATCACACCAGAAATCAGGCACAATTACTTGATATAAACAAGCATTCGGCGCAGCTGCCCGAAACCGATCAAAATCAAAACGGGAAAGAGAATCAGCTAAAATATTATCAATGCCTGACACGTGTTTAACAGACATAGTGAAATTGCGAAGAGCGGCAACCATTAGAATTTTCCTCAACACGTGCAGGATATCTGAATTTTTAGGATTAAGTGAACGCCAACAATGAACGACTGCCATGTTATCACAATGAAAAATGATTTTTTGCTTTCGAAATTTATCTGCCCAAATCAAACACGCGACATAAATGGGAATTATTTCCAGAAACGCGATACACCGTTTGGCAATTTCTTCAGATGGCCAGCGACAGGCAAACCATTCACCACCAAAATAGCCCGCGAAACCGGTGCCGGCTGCCGCATCCGTGTAGAGGTGTAGAGTATCGGGTTGTGACCAATTAACAGACAGGAACGATGCACAACCATTCCACTTTGGCAGAAATTCAGCCCACCAGTCAAGATAATCAATAATGTCATTAGTAACCACGATTCGATCAGATTCATTTGAAGATAAAAGATTAATTAATTTTCGCGTAAATAAACGTCCTGCAGGCACACACTTTGCCGCAAATTGAAGAGAACCGATTAGACTTTGAAGCTCATTTTCCTAACACACAGACCGCTTTTGCCACACAGCAATTAACGCGATGATTTCCTCTAATTTACCAACTGGAAGGGACAGAGTTTGGGCAACTGAGTCGAGAACAATGCCGAGAAATGGTAACCGGGTGGATGGGCCATCAGCTTTATCAGGAGAAAACGGAATACCAAGATCTTGTGCAATCCGCAATAAAGTATTAACAATGAACGTGCAGGCTTCCACAGTTAATTCGACAAAAAAGAAATCATCAACATAATGAAGAAAACTAAACTTTTTCGAGACATCAGCAACAATCCAATGTAGCGCTTCGGAAATCATGCAAAATAGGCGCGGAGACGATCTTCCACCAAATGGTAGAACAACGTCATGATAATAATTACCAGCAACTTTATAACCGAGTAATGGCCAGTCAGCCGGGCGTACGGGAATCAAACGAAATGCATGTTTGATATCTTGTTTGCACATTATCGCACCGACTCCCATATGTGTTAACAAACGAACAGCATCGTCAACCGAACAGTAAGAAACCGTGTATGCGTCACCGTCAATATAATCGTTCACACTGTTACCCTCTGGTCGGGATAAATCAAGAATAACCCGATGCCCGCTAGGTTTTTTCTCACGAACGCCAAGAAAACTTATAGAAAAATATTTAAACGGTGGTTTGATAAAAGGGCCGGTTGTATGGCCTAACAAAACCTCTTTCTCAATAGCTTTTATCAAGACATCATCATGCTCACGCGCAGACTTGGCATTTGCGGTAAAGCGAGAGCAGACGGGGCCAAAATAGCCGATATCTGCCCCGTTAATGATCATATCAATAACCACACTTACGAAATGTTGGTCTGGATGGTCACACAAGTAATGGCGGAATGCATCAGGCTTGAGAGGTGTCGCAGCGGTTCGTAGCGGCTTCGCCGACATTAGCGCGCCGTTTACAGGTGCGGAGACCATGGGAACCGGCATCACAAGCTGAGCAGCGGTGCAGTTTTCCGTACTGGCACGGAGGGGAGCAGTATCCACGCTGCCATTCTGTACAGAGACGGTCATCCGTCTCGTTGCGCCCGCGAAAAAGCTGAGAGTCCGAAGAACGACTAGAGCGTTCTTTAGGGTGATTAGGGCAATTTCGAATCCAATGGCCAGGAATGTTACACTTGTAACAACAATATGACGAAGGTGGTACACCTGGCTGACCCAAACGCCCAGATAGCCCCGCATGGCTACCACTCGCACGCATGCTGGGATAAACTGTCATAAAACACTCACGATAAATCTCGTGATCGGTCTTTGACCAAATTACAGCATTATTCGGGTGCATACGAGCAAGCATTCTGAAGCGTTGGTCATAACTAAACCATTGAGCTGGTTCGTAGGAGTGTGCAAAACTTGCCATAATATCGAGGTACTTCAGCATTGGCAAAACAAATTCCGGCTTGTTGTATGTGCGATACGACATAAAAATATGGAACGATCGCGCCCACATTGTAAAGGTCATCGCTGTAGCGCGTTGACCGGCCGCTGATACAACCGATAACGGTTGTCCAGATTCGTCACGACGCACTTTGGGCAGATTAATCTCAGTTGCAAACGACAACGGGAATAATTCAGTAAAATCGATAAATGCAGAATGGTCAAACAGAACTCTACTCAATTTATCCGAAACTAGCGGTAATTCACTGAAGTCGTCCGAAGACTGACCAAACGATTCATGCTTGGTTCCAAGGCGATTTGAAGCGCTAGGCATGACGGCTTGACAGTTTTTGCTGGAAGGCACATATACCACGCTACCGTTACCTGTTCGTTCCGGAGATGGTGAGAAACGAACATCGCGCAACGGCGAAGGTGGCGACATCGGAGAAGCCCGGGTGAGCTGACTGATTTCTGCAGACAGTTGCCTCTTGCGCGCAAGAAGATCTGACAGACGATCTGGTTTCGACCGAGTCGTAGTGGTGACCTTAAGAGCGGGCGCGCGAGGCGGTCGACCACGTCGCGTGGGTGCGGGCTTGATGGTCCTTCCGGAGTTTCTTCCAACTGTAGCTGGCGCAGCGGCTGCTAGCCGTGGCCGTCCCATTGTGATACGATGAATTACGAAGAAATATTTTCAACGGACAATCTCGATAAAATGGAGTGAAACATTGATGCAAAACCGAAAGCGACAATGTTAACTGAAGTATCTGATACACCCGAATCGCGGAGTTGAAAACGCAAAAACCGATTAAAAATCAGATTAGTTGTTGCAAATCTGGCAGGAAAATCATACAAGTCAGATGAGTAAAGACGCAATAAATCAGCTACCACTTGATTTGCATTGAGATTTGATGAGCACAAAGAGCACATACACATGGATATCCACTGTGTAGACAAACTGAATTAGGCATTCTAGCGCAACCGGCAATATGCCGGAGTCAAAGAACAGGGCAACCACCCATACGATGGTAGTGACAAATACAAAAAACGCCAAAGTGAAGTATAAACAAACGATTTACTGGTCTTCAATGAAGAGAACGTAAATAGGATTTCCAAAAACTGATCGTAGGAAACACACGCTGCTACGTATAAATCATGAGCAATACGACGGATAATTCTGCGACAAGATTCACGAAGAATAAGCTTGCGCCATAACATACTGGATGATGTTCCAGGTGACAACCAAAACAAAAATTGTTAAAAACCAGCCGTTCAATCAAACCACAAACTTATCTGCGTGTAACGGTCTATCAATAGATGGAATAGAATGGCAGTAGCGGTTTACAAAATTTGTTTTAGGAAGAGATGGAAAACTGCTAAAGGTCATGAAACTTCGGTTTTGCCACATATAAAAACGCGTTCGACGCGAACTGCATCAATGAATTCTCATAAATGACGATGAACATTTGCAGCTGCAGAAGGCAGCATGAAAATCTTGACGATCCCACGAAAACAGCATCTGACCACCCAGATGGCCACTAATAAATCTCAACCGCGACAGAACATTAACGTCAAGGCGAGACAAAGCATGCCGCTCGCCAGAATTAACATTCATTATCTCCGATAATTCCTTTTATCTATTTTGCCGCACTACGAACGGGAATATGATAATTATAATAAGGGACACTCGGTAATAAGGGGCAACTCTGCCAGCATAGCCCACACTAGTTATCGGTTCTCTCGACATCAGAGGCTAACAACTAGTGCGGGCAATTTTTCTGGATTCGCTATCTCTTAAAGAAAGTGTAACGAGCGTGCGAGTTACGCTACGAGTTTGGATACTTCGCTTTGACCATTATTTCGAACACTTGCACTGTATGGATCAATAAATCGAACCAAATTAGCAGCCACTCTAGCGGCGACTACTTGAGAAACTAAACTTGCCGACTGAAATGTCAAGCATTTTTCACTGTAATCTGCGCAATGAAGTTGAAAGCGTTAACAGAACAGTCAGAAACTTAGAACCTGCTGCTCTCCCATGCATAGTAGTTTCTTATGTTGTCTGTTGCATTGAAAATTATTTTTATAATTTTTGTCTACTTTGCAGTATTACTTACTCATTTAATTTAGTATTTCGGGGTATACCGTAAGTTACGTTAGCATAGGCGAGACAAGAGCCATTGTCGCATTCGCCTCAGGTGCACCTACGATCAAAATTCGATGACTGGATTCCATTAGAGTGGAAAGTAATGTTGGTGTTATTTGAAATTCAGGCAAAAGTAAGAAATGCTTTTTATATATAAGAGATTTTATCAAAATAATTTTGTCCGCCAAAACGAACTAACACGAGACAGATATTAGTCATTCATTGCGACATTTGCGTAGTGCGCATCTGTAACCGTCCAAAACGACCGGCGGTCGTTTTGGAGGGTTACACATGTCTGTAGCCAGCTGACACTTTAGTCGGACCGCACTTAACAAAACGGAAGGAACAACATCCGGACGTGCATGGACAGCAGGCAGAAGAAGGACGAGCATCACACACCCGCCCGGCAACCGGCGTCCCGGTGCACCCGCCCGGCAACCGGCGTCCCGGTGGACATTGCGGACCAAACCGAGCCGGTAAACGCACAATCTGGAGAACAGGTAGCGGAAACCGCAGTGGGTGGATCGTAACCCGGCACGGCAGCCAGCCGGCCTGGATGGAGCGGACCAGCTTACATCAACGGTCACTCGGCACAGTTCGACCGAGAGCTCAGTCGACCGCTTGGAACAATCGGCATATGTGGGAGTCCCGGCTGTGCCGTTCCCGGCTGTGCCGTTCCCGGCTGTGCCGTTCCCGGCTGTGCCGTTCCCGGCTGTGCCGTTCCCGGCTGTGCCGTTCCCGGCTGTGCCGTTCCCGGCTGTGCCGTTCCCGGCTGTGCCGTTCCCGGCTGTGCCGTTCCCGGCTGTGCCGTTCCCGGCTGTGCCGTTCCCGGCTGTGCCGTTCCCGGCTGTGCCGTTCCCGGCTGTGCCGTTCCCGGCTGTGCCGTTCCCGGCTGTGCCGTTCCCGGCTGTGCCGTTCCCGGCTGTGCCGTTCCCGGCTGTGCCGTTCCCGGCTGTGCCGTTCCCGGCTGTGCCGTTCCGGCTGTGCCGTTCCCGGCTGTGCCGTTCCCGGCTGTGCCGTTCCCGGCTGTGCTGTACCGTTCCCGGCTGTGCCGTTCCCGGCTGTGCCGTTCCCGGCTGTGCCGTTCCCGGCTGTGCCGTTCCCGGCTGTGCCGTTCCCGGCTGTGCCGTTCCCGGCTGTGCCGTTCCCGGCTGTGCCGTTCCCGGCTGTGCCGTTCCCGGCTGTGCCGTTCCCGGCTGTGCCGTTCCCGGCTGTGCCGTTCCCGGCTGTGCCGTTCCCGGCTGTGCCGTTCCGGCTGTGCCGTTCCCGGCTGTGCCGTTCCCGGCTGTGCCGTTCCCGGCTGTGCCGTTCCCGGCTGTGCCGTTCCCGGCTGTGCCGTTCCCGGCTGTGCCGTTCCCGGCTGTGCCGTTCCCGGCTGTGCCGTTCCCGGCTGTGCCGTTCCCGGCTGTGCCGTTCCCGGCTGTGCCGTTCCCGGCTGTGCCGTTCCCGGCTGTGCCGTTCCCGGCTGTGCCGTTCCCGGCTGTGCCGTTCCCGGCTGTGCCGTTCCCGGCTGTGCCGTTCCCGGCTGTGCCGTTCCCGGCTGTGCCGTTCCCGGCTGTGCCGTTCCCGGCTGTGCCGTTCCCGGCTGTGCCGTTCCGGCTGTGCCGTTCCCGGCTGTGCCGTTCCGGCTGTGCCGTTCCCGGCTGTGCCGTTCCCGGCTGTGCCGTTCCCGGCTGTGCCGTTCCCGTGCCGTTCCCGGCTGTGCCGTTCCCGGCTGTGCCGTTCCCGGCTGTGCCGTTCCGGCTGTGCCGTTCCCGGCTGTGCCGTTCCCGGCTGTGCCGTTCCCGGCTGTGCCGTTCCCGGCTGTGCCGTTCCCGGCTGTGCCGTTCCGGCTGTGCCGTTCCCGGCTGTGCCGTTCCGGCTGTGCCGTTCCCGGCTGTGCCGTTCCCGGCTGTGCCGTTCCCGGCTGTGCCGTTCCCGGCTGTGCCGTTCCCGGCTGTGCCGTTCCCGGCTGTGCCGTTCCCGGCTGTGCCGTTCCCGGCTGTGCCGTTCCGGCTGTGCCGTTCCCGGCTGTGCCGTTCCCGGCTGTGCCGTTCCCGGCTATTGCCGTCCCCGGCTGTGCCGTTCCCGGCTGTGCCGTGCCCGGCGGTGCCGTTCCCGGCTTTGCCGTTCCCGGCTGTGCCGTTCCCGGCTGTGCCGTTCCCGGCTGTGCCGTTCCCGGCTGTGCCGTTCCCGGCTGTGCCGTTCCCGGCTGTGCCGTTCCCGGCTGTGCCGTTCCCGGCTGTGCCGTTCCCGGCTGTGCCGTTCCCGGCTGTGCCGTTCCGGCTGTGCCGTTCCGGCTGTGCCGTTCCCGGCTGTGCCGTTCCCGGCTGTGCCGTTCCCGGCTGTGCCGTTCCCGGCTGTGCCGTTCCCGGCTGTGCCGTTCCCGGCTGTGCCGTTCCCGGCTGTGATTGATCAATAATTCTTTTGCGGTATTTGACTCGCAGACTGACGAATAACTGAATTTTGAAAAGCGGATGCTGTTGTAGTTTTGTTTGTTTTGGTCAGGTTGTATGTAGCCAGCAGGTTCATATGAACCTGCTGGCTACAGGTGAATACGGGTTTTGCTCGAGTGAAACTATAAAATACAGCGCTACAACCATCAGGCTCGATCCAGATCGCTCCAGATGGGCATTTTCGTGCTGCTTGTTTGCTCCAGTTTATTGATTCCTCAATAAAGCTGTTT